TTTTTCGTGTGATATTTAGCTGCAAAGCATATATAAAATATGATTTTCATTACAAACTTTCCATACGTTTGTAAGATGTTTGCAAAATCGCGCACAAATATTTAGATCAAAAATAAATTAAAACACAATTTTTTATCGTATTTTTCAGCGCTTATTATCCTTAAGACAGACCTTCAACTGAACCGTTAGTTTGAAATGAACACACAATTCAAGATCAAAATTTAGATGTTTTTTACGGCCAAAAGTAAATGTTTTTGAAAATACTTTTTACTAAACTATCGGTTAGCGCTCAATGGTTATCAACAATTAATGAATTTATTTTAGCAGCAAATTAATTATTAGATAATTTAATTGTGAATAATTTTCTTTGTTTTAATTCCCACTATAATTTACTATCAATTATTTAACGATCACTAGGATAGGGAGCCTTTCCTTATATACTAGCCATGAACCTTGTTATGTATTTTGAAAATGATGGGAACCTCAATAAATAAAAATAGTTTATAATTTTATGTAATTATTATTTATTTCATGCGGGTCCATTATAATGATTAAAATTTTAGATTTAGTTTATTAACTTATAATTGTTTTAAAAAAGATTATTTTTTATAGTGTACTAAAACATAGTGAACAAATATTTCATAAAAAAAGTGTCTATACTGTATTAAGAATGTGTCTATTTAATAGAAATTCTTGTGTTGTCAAAATTCCTTTAGTCTTAAGTCCATGATATATAAGAATATTCTGTATTTTATTGAAAGATAATTGTAATTATATAAATACTGTAAAAAATAATAATTTGTGCTGAACACTTATCATAAGTTTCTTAAAATAAAATCATCCTTAAGGAGAATTGATTGTTTCATAATTATAGAAATTAATTCATTTTGCCTATAGGTAACGTTTCAATTAAACTTAACAATTTTTTTACATCATGGTATACAGTATGTTATAAAGGAATTTACTTTATATAATAAAATATATTTTACATTTTAATAAATATTATTTGTACAAAATTATTACAACTTTATGATCAATGGGTAGATTAATGAAAAGTTAAGTCCTAATAAAATGCCAAAAAGTATAGTAAATGATGACATCATACCGGCTATAGAAGCGTATTTTGGCTCAACACTAATGGGACAATACATGATACATAGACTGGACAGGTATCCCGATGTCAGTGACATTAGTATAGCTCCAACAATATAAATAACATCATTTTGAATGATGACAGACAAGTGTCTATCATTTGGATAATAATTACATAAAATGAAAAACGGTATGAAAGCGAACCTTAAGAGCGAGTAAATGATTAAACTATTGGCGGAGGGTTTGGGCAATAATTCAGCGAAATAACAGCCAATCGTTTTAAACAACGGGAATAATAGGAAACAAAATACGGGAACAAAGTATTTGTCATCTATTATGCGGTTTAAGGGTTTGATGTTTGCATAAAGTGCCGGGAATATGGAGAATGTGACAAAATATATGACTATTATGTTTAGTAAAAGTAACCGAATTTTGTGAAACACATATAAATACATTTTCACGCCAAACAACTGCTTGTTTAGCAGCCGGTGCTCATTAGTGTCCATACTTTGCGGTCGACTATCCGTCGGAATTGTGTCCATACTTTTCATATCCATCGCATTATTGGCATAACTATTGTTAATATTTGTCATGAAATGCAAGTAATATTTCTATCAACAGAAAAATATATTAATCACAAAAATCTAAAAAATAATATTATTTTTGACTCACATTTCGGCGAACAATGAATTCATTGACAAAACAAAAGACGAGATAAATGACGGCAAACGAGAAGAAATAAATGGCCACCACTTTAGGTGTCGGTGCGATGGTTATGGATACGATCATAAAGAGGGCGGCGATGACCCCGCTCAGGTTGAAACCAATGGTGACTGCGTTGGTGTAGCGCACCGGAAGTTTGGCGGCGATCCCGTACACACAGCCCTGGAATACGCCGTTCGCTATGTTTATGACAAACGCTGATAACATCGTTATCCAGAAGAATATCTCCGGCCATTCACTTGAGTCGATCACCGCTAAAACGGTGGTCCCAATGAATACAAGCGCCTGTAGTAATAGTGATAACCAGATCCGAGTGGACAGGGATTTGTAGCTATAATTTGCATGGATTTAGGGTTAGGTTTTATAGATATATGTTGTGATAATGGACTAACTCTGAGCCGAAGAACATGTTAATGAATTGAAACAAAATGTTTGGCGCTTTCGATGCGATTCCCAGATATGAGAGAAAGTTTTTGCGATAGTTTTCCAATGTGTCCGACATATTAGCGACAGATTTGAGTTTATAGTCAACGAAATACTGTATTAAATGATTATTTAATATTAAATTATTTAAATATTATTTTGTTAATTATATAAATATGAATTAAAACAATAGTTTGTGATAATGCATAAAGTTGTGAAAAATGAGTAAAATATATTTCATAACATACAGAGTCGGCATTGATTAGCATATTCCAGGCTAAGAGTGCTCCGATACCGTGGAGGAACAGTATTATGTATACGATATGATAGCTATTTTAATTTAATTCAAAATAATTAGTTAGAATTAAATATATTTTAAAATCTATCTATTACTTACTTATCATTTGGTGCCATAATTAGATTTTATTTTTAATTAAACTAATTTACAGTTAATTCAACAAACAATAATACCAAACACATTAATAAAAATTAAAATAATACTTTTTAAAATCAAGTTACATTTTTGTAATATTAATACAACGTTAGTATTGCTGATACACGTATTAAATAAATATAAAAAAGTATTGTTTGTTTTATGAGCTGTGAAATATTTGATTAGTTTGTAAAAAATTATTCAATGTACTTCCCGTGTGATTACGAAACTATAAGAAATACATTTTTCTCATATTTAATAAAACAATAGTTTGTCATTTAAACAATAAATAATATCTAAAGTAGTAGAGAATAATTTTTTAAAACATACAACATGTTAAACACATTTTACAATAAATTCAAGCGAAATATTATATTCAAGTGAAAAATGAGGTCATATTACAGTTAAGGGAAACCGTTGAATAAATACCATTGAATTAAATGTTTAAAAATTGCTATTTTATTATCATTTCTCATATTAGCTGTCAATACGTAACAAATCAAACATTTATTTTACTGGAATAGTACTGAATGTCAATATAAACAATCAATTTCTTGAAATTTTTTTTATAACATAACAATAAACATAAGAAAAATAAAACAAACAATTGTAAAAACTTTGGGAATTTCTAGGACTCATAACATTGATTATTTACCACATTTATTGGTAGTAAATTAAATATTCAATAATTGTTTGCTTAATAAAAATACATAATAATTATTAACAAAAAATTAAATAAAGTTTTAATTAAATATCTATTTTGATAACCAAAGGGTAAGCTAATGAGAAACAAAAGCCTAATATAATGCCAAATAGTATGGAAAACGGAGCCATCATTCCGGCTATGGATGCATACGTGGGCTCAACACTAATGGGACAATACATGATGAAAGTGCTGGACAGGTATCCCGATGTGATGGCCATTAGTATTGATCCAAATATATAAATCCAATCATTTTGTATAATGACAGACATTTGTCTATCATTTGGATAATAATTACATAAAAGCAAAAACGGTATGAAAGCAAACCTTAAGATTGAGAAAATTGTTAAATAATTGGGCGAGGGTTTGGGTAGTTTTTCAGCAAGGTAATTGCCGACAATATTAAATAATGGCAGGGATAGGTTACAAAATACTGGACTAAAGTATTTGTCATCTATTATGTGGTTTAAGGGTTTAATGTTTGCCTGAAGTGATGGGAATAATGAATATGTAATGAAATATGTGATCATAATATTCAATAATAATAACCAAATTGTTTTAAACACGAGTAAAAAGTTTTTCACTTTAAACACATCATTATTATTATCTGTTTTGTCAGCCGTTTGTTCGCGACTTATACGAGTCATGAAATGTATGTAAAATGTCTGTAAAAATACACAATTATTTTCGCAACAAAATTAATTTAAAGTTATTTTTGACTCACATTTCGACGAATAATGAATTCATTTGCAAAACAAATCATTTGAAATACGACAGCAAATGAAAATAGATAAGTGGCTAACACTTGAGGTGTTGGCGATACAGCTATTGACATAATCATGAATATAGCGGCAATAACCCCGCTCAAATTAATGCCCATGAGTACGGCATTGGTATAACGGGAGGGTAGTTTAGCGGCCACACCATACACACAGCTCTGGTATATGCCGTTTGTAATGTTCGCCAAAAATGTGGATAACATTGTTATCCAAAAGTAAGTCTCCGGCCATTCACTGGTGTCCACTATAGCCAGCGCTAAGATCACTGCAAATATTATTGATTGAAACAGTAGTGATGTCCAGATCCGAGTGGACAGGGATTTATAACTGCAGAAATGTTTTTATTTGTATTT